AATCAATTTCCAGTATTCAAATAAGGTAGCATTTGTTAATGTTTATAATATTTTTCATTTTTTTGATTACTCTGCATTTGTTGATTTGGAAGACATGAACGGAGAATGCCAAAATTTGACATTGTTAGCTAAAACATTTTATATGTAAAAATTTCTTTATAAATATTACTAATATGATTATAATGAAAACTTTGATTTAAATGGTCTTATGCTTTGGGAAATCTTGCTTCCTTGATGAGTATTTATGTTAATTTTTAATTTTTTCTTCTTCTTTTGGTTACATTACAAATTGTCACTAATGATGTTATAGCTTCATTTGACGTGATTGTAATCAATGTTATTTCTTTAGACTTCATACAATGTAGAAGTTGCTCAAATAATTTTATTTTATTTTTATTGCCACTACAAAAAAATGACTTATGCCTACACACAAAAAATGTCACTAAAAATCTAAATTCCATAGATAAAGGTATCATGGACTTTGACCTACAAACATTGAAGTTGTCAACTTTGAGGGGGCATCTACAACTAATAGCCTATCACTATAAGTTTTACCTACAGACATAATTTTACCTACAACTACATTTGACTGTCACTATAAGAGCTACCTACAATTTACAATATGCGTGGGTAAAAGTCATTGACTTATATTTACACTCCTTATTATAGGTAAACACCATTAAGTTGTACTTACATGTTATAACTGTAGGTAAAAGTTATTAACTTATTCTTACATGCTCTGACTACAGGTAAAAATATTTTATTTTATTTATTATTATTATTGTACCTATAACAATGTCTTAATTTTTGTTGTGAGATTTTTACAATGTTGTGACAAGTGGGAAATGTTCTTTCTTGATATTCTTATTTCTTTTTAAATAAAGTGCATAGTGAGTGCATCAAAGATATACCACATAAATTTGATATGGTAATAACGTTGAGAATATATTTTTTTTTTTGAAAGATGTACTTTAATCAATTTAAAAAATACATGAAAAAAATGAAAATATTATCAAAAAGGTGGGATAAGTTAAATTGAAATAAGCCACAATGGATTGAGAATTGGAACAATCACAAATATACAATTACAGCACTACAAAAGTTTAGATAGTTTAAAAAAGACTTAAGAAATACTAATAAAAGAATGAAAGATGAAATAAATTTAATATACTAAAGAAACATACTTAAAAAAATATATTATTGAATCATATATAAGTAGATGATTTTTTTTGGTAAATAAATAAAAATGATTACTTGTGCATCTATTAGAACTTGATATTATTTTACTATTATTCACATTGCTAAATAATAAAAATGGTCGATGAATAAATTTTTATATGTGATGTTGTTCGGAAAGGCCAATACCAAAAGATATATATATTTTGATTGTGAGAATGTTATTGCACATCTGCAACAAGATGGATCCCTTACTGTCGTGAATCAAAAACTGCAGAAGCTTTAGCCTTTACATGGAGTCTTCAAGTGGCAATAGATCATTCTCTACATCATTTATGCCTTGAAACATATTGTCTCATATTGACTTAGAGTTGCCTGCAAACAACTTCAAGCATATTTTGGGATTGTTAATTTGAAAAAGTGTTCAAATATATGGGATTGTTAATTAAGAAAGTGTTCAAATTTTGGTTGACAGGTTTTATAAATTGAATCAATTAAATTGTTATAAACTTTTTTTTTTTTACTTAAATTAAACTCCCTGACTAAAATAACAAAATTCACCCGAAAGAAGAAAAAAAAAAAAAGAATCTCGAATTTTGCCTTCTTTCAGTTTTAATATTATATTATCTACCTTTCGATCTTTTAAATTTTTACTAAATTATAACTTTTAAACTTTTCAAAAATTATTTAATTTTCATAATTTATTAAAACCCTGAAAGATGTTTTAATAGAAAAGTAAGTAATTTAAGATTTAATTTATGTTTTATTATATTTAACATAGTGTGAAAAAAAAAATATAAAGAACAATTTAGACTTAAGAATTATATGATAAATATATAAAATATTTACCAAAGATTTTTTTAATTAAATTATTATTATTTTATCTAATTAATATTTACTTCATGCAAAATTAGTGTCTAAAAATACTTCATAGGCAGATTATTATTATTATTATTATTATTATTATTATTATTATTATATTTATTATATTTTTATAAAAAGTTCAAAATTGATATTTATTATTTGTATTATTAATAAAATAGATATATTAATTAATGATAAGTAATTTATACATGCACGGGTGTTAGTTAAAAAAAAAAAAAAAAACCTCATCAATTGATTTTTGTACTCAATAGTAATTGTTAAAATGGACTAATGGAGCAGATCGAGTCATGGAATGAACTTTGTTTCAGATTGATCATTGTTAAATCACTTTGATATTTCTATTATGAATTTCAACCATAACGAACAAAGAGAATTTTCTTATAATTAATTATAGTTAAATATAAAAATTAATAATCGTAGCTAATTAAACAACTATCAAAATCCAAGATAAAAAATTATATAAATTAATAATCTTATGAGAAGAAGGATCCATTTACTCCAAGAGAAAGTTTATCTAAATTTATTAAGTTCAATAATTCATGTTCTACATCAAATTTTAACGATCTAATCGTTGAATTTAAAGTTCTTAATGCATAAATTAAGTCTATAAGTTTTAAAAAAATTTGAAAATCATTTGATACTTCATTTCATTAATTCAAATTGATGGATAATCATAAAATTATTTTATACATTGATTTGAATTAATGAAACGAAGTATCAAATATTTTCAAATTTTTTTAAAATTTGCAGATTTGATTTATGAATTAAAAACTTTAAATTTAACGGTTGAATCATTGAAATTTGATATAGAACGCGAGTTATTGAAACCTATTGATATTTTACTATTCATGGATAAACTCTTTTAAGTGTCTTGCATTGCATGGGTACTAAATATATAGTTCTAGAAAAAGAAGAGCTCTTATACATATTTTAACAGGATTTAAAATCTGAATAGAAGGCTAATTTCCACAATCAAATGAACTAATTTCAAGATTGACTTGGTTTAAAATTTTAGATTTTACACTCGCCGTTAATATGACATAGAAACCTAGAAGGATCACTCCCCACAGAGTATCTAAAAGACTGGACCCGTTCTAATACCACAAAAGTGTAACGACCCGCCATGACTTTTACACTCTGTGAATCATGCAACTATACTAGAGTGAACCAAGATAACCATTATCTGAATAATACTGCATATATGGATATACAAGAAAAATAAATAAAACCTCTATTTATATATATACAAACCACCTAGAAATATGTATATAAATATAAACAGTCATCCAAAACCATGATAATGTCTTAGTGTCGGTCAAGTCCTATAACTAATACATCCTATTTTAATATGACATCAGAACTAAAAATCTCACACCTCCAATGTTAAAATCTTGTCTTGTGTTACTCAAAAAATCTTGATACACGTGATTATATAAATAATACTTTTAAACAATACTTAATAAATTATACTTTAGACAACATTTCAAAAAATTAATATTAGTTATTATATTACTTTACAATAGCACTTAATTTATTTAGTGTTGTCTTATTTATTTGTCTCCATTTAATAAAATCTCATAAAATTAATTGTTGTTTAACAACACTTAGTTTATTAAATGTTGTCTTATTTATTTGGTTCCATTTAACAACATTCACAAAAGATGTGTGGTATTAAAGGTGTGCAATTGAAAGTCTCTTTTGTAGTAATTTTTTTTTAAAAAAAATTTACCAATCTATAGAAATAAAATAGCATCCAAGTAGTTCAATACAGTATAGGATTGACAAATAACAGCTAAATATATTATATATCTCATTATATACATATAATTTATGCACAAAATAAAGTAGACAATGTTAAACTACTAAAAAATTACTATATGATACATATTTGTGTGAGTAGACAATGTTAATAAACTATGAAAAAATTACTATATGATAGATATGTATGTATAAGGAGACAATGTTAATAAACTACTACAATTTATACTTTATATATATAATGTAAATTAACTACAAATTAAAACTAAAGCAAACAAGTTTATACATAATTAAAAAAAACCAATGTTTATAGAAATTCTAAAAACAAGTTGTTCATGTAATGCAGATCTCTTTCAACTCTTCATCAATTAATAGTTTTAAATATTTACAAATTGAAATAAAGGAAATAAATATTAGTAGATGGATAAACAATAAAATTTCATTTAAAATAAATAAATCTATTTAGATATATATTACTTATTCCCTATGATAGAAATTATCTGGTTGATGTACGCACTATAATTTAAATATTTATTATTATAATATATTTAAATCGTAATTAAATATTAGGTTCGTATTTCACTTTTTCGAGATATTTAAGCAAATTCTGCAATCTTTAACTAGCATTTAAAATTCCATGAGAATGGATGATAATTCAAAATTAATTAGAAGAGGAAATTATCATAATTCAAAAAATTTAAAAGAATATGTATATAAATTAGAAAGTTCCAATAATTAAATTAATTAAAGAAGATAATAGCTAAAAACTAATTATATCTAAGTAGCTGTAGACCCAGAGTTCGGAAGCAACACGTAAAGCCACTCATTCCAAACCTCCCATCAACTTCTTGAGCTAATTGCTTTCGATAGTCACAACAAAACAAGGTATGCATCAATCTCACACCCGACTTAACAGTAATGTGAATATATTACTTAGTATTGTGTCTTCCAAAATGGGGCACGACTATAGACTTTAAGATGTGCCGTGCTCTACTTGGTTATTTGACTTGCTAAACTTCGCAGAGGATCATCCACAACCTCATAAACTTTCACAATATTTTGTTTATAATATGAAAATTATCTTTAATGTGACTATCCAATAAGAATAAACAAATAAACCAAAATATTCCTATATATATCTACTTTCTTCTACATTTGATAACCAATGGAAAAGATGCTAAACACAAAAAGATATTTGATTATTTCTCTCCTGGCTCTTCTTGTATCAACTCCCTATGTAGCTGCAAGCACTCTTTGCATTAAGGAAGAGAGAGAAGCCCTCCTTAAAATTAAAAAAGATCTCAAGGATCCCCACAATTGCCTCTCTTCGTGGGTTGGGAATGATTGCTGTAATTGGAATGGTATAGAATGTCACAACCAAACTGGTTACATTCTAAAGCTTGATCTCGGACTAGACTTATGTCCCTTCACCACAAATATATTGCCACCATCTTCCATAGGTGGTGAGATAAATCCTTCAATAACAGGCTTGAAACATCTGAGATACCTGGATCTAAGTTTCAATAACTTCGAAGGAATCCCCATTCCGAAATTTATTGGTTCTCTCAATAAGCTGCGTTACCTTGACCTATCCAATGCAAATTTTTCTGGAATGGTCCCTACTCATCTTGGCAATTTGTCAAAATTTGCAGTATCTTGCTATCTCTTCATTTGAGTCACTTTGGGTCAGAGATGTAAGTTGGCTCTCTGCTCTGTCTTCACTTCAGTATCTATACATGCAGTCTGTTAACATTACTAGCACATCCCATGAGTAGTTTCGAGCTGTGAATATGATGTCATCTTTGTTAGAGTTACGTCTAATCTATTGCAATCTTCGTACTCTCCCGCCATCTCTTCAATTTGAAAATATTACATCACTTTCACTGCTTGATTTACATGGTAATCGTTTTAATTTCTCGATACCTTCATGGTTGTTCAATATGAGTAATCTCACAGAACTTTATCTTTATTCTTCATCTCTAAGAGGTCCGCTTCCTGTGCTCCAGAGAGGGAATCTCTGCAAGCCTGAGATTGTGGACCTATCCAATAATGATCTCAGTGGTGATATAACTCAAATGTTGGATATCTTGTCATCCTGTTCAAATCACCTAATTGAGAAATTGTCCCATTCTGTAGGAAAATTCAAACTTGATCTGTCATTCAACTCACTATCAGGTCCAATCCCAGCATCAATAGGAAACTTATCAAATCTAGCGCTTCTGGACTTGGAAGAAAACATAATGAATGGGGAAATTCCAGAAAGTATTGGTCAACTAACCGAATTGAGTTATCTTAATCTATACCAGAACAACTGGGAAGGCACAATGACAAATACTCATTTCCATAATCTCACAAACCTGGTTAGTTTCTCTGTCTCATCCAAAGCAAACACATTTGCCTTTAAAGTGACACGAGAATGGATTCCTCCTTTTAAGCTTTTGAAAAGAATGGAAATTTCTGATTGTCAACTTGGCCCTACATTTCCTAGCTGGCTTAGAAACCTGACGCTCTTGAATTGGGTATTCCTAAAAAATGTTGGAATTTCTGGAGAGATACCCCATTGGTTTTACAACATGTTGTCCTCCCAAAGTTGGGTGCTAGATCTTTCTCACAACAAATTAAATGGCTACCTTCCCAAAATATTTAACTTCTCGAATTCAGCTAGTATTAGCCTTGCTTTCAATCAGTTGAATGGCTCAATCCCACTTTGGTGGTCGGGTGTCGATGCTCTCGATCTAAGCAACAACTTGTTTTTCGGAACATTGCCAACCAATATATATAAGCGAAGAAATGTCGCATTTGACATTCTTGGATATCTCAAATAACCACATTTATGGGAGCATTCCACTATCAATAAATAGGATTCAAAATTTGTCATATCTTGCTTTATCTAACAATTATTTGACAGGTACTATCCCCATGTTTTGGATGGTTATGGGAAGATTACGCAGCATTGATCTATCCAACAACAGTTTTTCAGGTGGAATTCCAGCTTCAATATGTTCTCCGCCTTCTCTTGTTTTGCTAGAATTGAGCAACAATAATCTCTCAGCAGATTTGTCTTCAACCTTTCACAATTGTACTTCTCTTCGATTTCTTTCTTTAGGAAACAATAGGTTGATTGGATATATGCCAAAAGAGATCACCAAAAACCTTCCTTTGCTCGAATATTTACTGTTAAGAGGTAACACACTGGCAGGAAGCATTCCAGAAGAGGTATGTGGTCTTCATTCTCTCAATTTGTTGGATTTAGCAGAAAACAACCTATCAGGATCTATACCAACATGTTTGGGTGATGTCCACGGTTTCAAATTGCCACAAACTTATTTCATTTATGAAACGGAGTCTCGCTTGTCATCGTACACGACACATGTAGAGTTGATGGTTAAAGGAAAAATAACTGAATACGAGAATGGAATGTTTGTGCATTCCACCATTGATCTTTCTAATAATGATCCTTGTGGCAGGATACCAGAGAAGTTAACAGAGCTAATTCACTTGGGTATCCTGAATTTGTCTTGGAACAGGCTAACGGGAAACATACCGAGCACCATTGGATCGCTTAAAGATTTAGAAAGTCTAGATCTTTCACACAACCATCTTTCGGGTCCAATCCCTGCAAGCATGGCTTCCATGACATTCTTGAGCAATTTGAACTTGTCATACAACAACCTGTCTGGACAAATTCCATTTGGCAACCAGTTCGACACATTTAATGATCCATCAATTTATGAAGGAAATCCTAAACTTTGTGGGAAACCGTTGCCAACTAATTGTTCATCAGCGTTGCCTGGAAATGAAGAGAAAGGAGGAAAACATGAAGATGGAGCTGATGAGAAAATTGAACGATTGTGGTTATATGGAAGCATAGCCTTTGGGTACATCACAGGCTTCTGGTTGGTCTGTGGCAGCTTGATGTTGAAGAGGTCGTGGAGACATGCATATTTCAACTTTGCGTTTGACATGAGAGATAAGCTTCTGGTTCTGATTGCTGTTAATTTGGCACGTGTGAAACGCAAGTTCGGACTTGAAAGAAACTAAGAGCAGCAGAGAAGACGAAGGCAACAACAATAGCCTTGTTATCCTTATCTTGTTCAGTTCAATAAGGTATACCACTCATGCAGTTATCATATTTGTTTCTAGTGCATGTTGTTCTGATTTGTCAATGGTATGTAAACAAGTTGATGAAAATGAAATAATGTTGCTTTTTTTATTTTAAAGGAGTTTAACTGAAGTATAAGAAAAAAAAATGTTTAAAATACAAGTAAATTTTAATCAATTTTATCTTAATTAATGAAACTCTTTCTAAAATGTATTTCGTTTAATTAGGATTTTATTTTCAATTATTTTTTAACTTTTGATACTAAGTTTTTATTAACGCTATATTAAGAAAAAAAATGTTTTAAAAAAGGATAGTAAAATTAAATGATGTAGCTACTTTTTTATTCAATAATTAAAAAAAAATCTTATAGTTTGGAAAGATTACTTGATATCACTACTTGATAACATATATTTATGTGACTCGCATGTGATATGTTTGGGATTTAAATATTTGTAATTAGGATTTCCTATTAGTTTTTTTTATTGATTAAATTTAATTAAAAATTTAAAAATAAAAAAAATGATATGGGTTCATGAAAATGACGTGAGACCCAAAACAGAACCATCATAAACAAGTCTGTAATCCGTCCTTAATGTAAATAACCAATTTTATCATATATAGAAGATTAGATTGTAACCGTTACTTACGGAGAGAATATACCGGTTGATTAGTGGTGCTAAAAAATAGGAGATTGTGAACTGGATTTAATTAAAAAGAGATAACGTGTTTCTCTCCTTTTTCATTTTAATCAACATGTAATTCTTCGCTCATTTTAATCTACATGTAATTCTTTCTTTTTTTTAAATTACTATTTTTTCTTTTCACACACTTTTTTCTTTCTTTTTTTTTTTTTTTTTGATTTTTACATATATCATTTTGTCTTCCTCTAATTCTCCACCTATTTCAGTAGATAGTTTTAGTTCTCTCAATTTTTATAATTTTTTTATTTTCTCACCTCTTTCACTTTTTCACATGCACCAAAATCATAGAACTGGTAGACGACAATATTGTAGGTACGTGTAGCTTTCTTTACCGTTTATATTAAACTAGATACACATTTTTTCTTCCAACACTTTCTTTCCTTTCACCTCTTCAAAAACCTTAACATTAAGTTTAGTGTTATGAAAAGACATTTTTATTATTCTAGAGTACTATGCAAATAGTGAAATCAGTGAGAAAATTGAAAAAGAAAGGGAAAGAATAATGTAAAACTAAAAAAATTAAAATTACCTATCAAAATAGGTGGGGGTGACAAAAAATTAAGGAGGTGTACGTGAAAATAAGGGAAAGATATGTAAAAAAAGTGTTAAATTAAATGTTAGGAGTATAAGATTAAAAAATTAAAAATAATAAAAATTAAAGATATTTTAAGAATTTAATTATTTTTTTAAAAAAAGGGGGTGTATTTATAAAAAAAAAAGAGGTGTATATATCATAATCCTCATTCTAACCCATCAAACCCGCCAACCCATTGGGCGAAATCGCAGGCTGGACTATCACAATAATTAGGCTTCATACCTTAAGAAAATCATTATTTATATAATTTTGATATTCATTTCAACATTTTTACTTTAAATTCTTTTTTATGTTTAATTTATTTTGATTTAGAAGATGATGATGAAGATGACCAAGATGAAAAAATAAAGACAACTTCTTCTATGGGAATTTCTAATGTTCTTGAAATAGGAACTCAAAGTTGATTAATTGTGTTTGAACTTGTTTTGTGGACAATTAAAAAATTTAGATTATTAGTAATTAGTAAGTTTGTAATTTGGTTTTGATTTTGTTGCAAGTGGACTCATTTCTATTTGATTTTGTTGTAAGTTTGTAATTTGCTCTTCTTAAACATATATTATGCACAATATGTATGCATTTTTAATTTCATGTGGTTATATTTATTTATTTATATTAATTTTTTATTTCAACATAAGAAACATTTTTTTTTTCAATTTTTTTAGTGGTATGCGGGCTGATCGCTGACCCCCTAGGCCGTCCTTAAGTGGGACAGGCCAACATTCCTAGCCCATTTTTCAATGACGGGCCGACCTAGCCTAACCTGTTTTGGTAGGTCCTGCCAAAACAGGTTGGACTAGCCCATTTTGCCACTCCTTGTAATCGAGGTCTTACACTTTGACCTTTAAGGTTCTAAAGAATAAATAAATAAATAAATAAAATATTGTGCAAGTTATCCTTTTTTTTTCTCTTCTTTTTTATGTTTTATTTAGATTAATGATTTGATAATCCATAATTCAATCATTTTTTTCTTTTGTATTATTTAGTTTTTTTATATATTAGAGATATCTTTCTAAATAATGATATGTGATTTGTGTTTGAGTATCTCTTTTTTTTTTAAATTGTGTGATCATTCATAATTTTTGGGGTTTTAAAAAAAAAAGTTTTAACTCTTACAATGATTTGTGATATTATAAATTGAGTAGTAATTCTACCATTAATATATCACTTAAATCATAAGAATTTATAAAAAGTTATTTGCTATCTTGAGTTTTGCTGCATGAGGTAAAATAAAAAAATTGTTCTTTTAAAAGTTTATTTCATGATGCAACAATCAATAACATCAATTGAATAATATTTTTATCATTGACATTATTTGATTTAAAGGATTTAATGACTAGCTTAAATTCTTGTGCAATGATTTTATTTTAAATAAAAATGCTAATTAAAAGTTAAATATACATTAATCGAGAACATTAATGTTCGTCGCAAAAAAGATGCATGATTTGTGGCGGTTATTTTGAAGATTTCTAGTAGTTACGTCACAAATCGCATTTTTTGCTTGCGGCTTTTAAATGCTGGTTTTGAGTATTAGAAAATTTAATTACTTTCTGGTGATTTAAAACTGCCACAAAATGAATTTTAATTTTTCTAATTGAACATGGCAGTTTAAACTGCCACAAAATTGCATTTTTGGTTAACCTATTTTACATTTTGTAGCAACTTTAAACCCTCACAAAATTTCATTTTTACTTACCATTTTCTAACAGTTTTAAACTGTCAAAAAATGTACATTAAACTGATGCATTTTTATTATTTTAAAAATATATTTGAAATCATTTTAAAAGCGTGTTCTTAAATAATATAATATATATATTTATTTATTTATTTTAGATATTCATCAAATTATTATTTAAAATTATTACTAATTATATTAATCATTTAAAATTAATAATGACTATATTATATTGTTATTTAATTCAAATAACTCTTAAATAACAAATCAAATTAAAACAGAGAGGAAATGATTAGAAAACAAAACAATTTTCCTGGAAACAAGGGACCACACTGTTTCACTACTAAAAAGTACCAAATGGAATGCACATAGAGGTTCAATACTGTCATTTTGACGAGGAATATATAAGTGGGCAAGTAGGACGAATTTGAGGAAAGAATTACATGTAATAGCCTAAATTATAGCTACTAAGTTTAAGCAATCTTTATTAGAAACAACAAAGGTAATTGCAAAATTTTAACAACCAAGGTAAACTTGTTTTATATAGAAGAACCATTGATAATCACATTCTTCTCTAATTTTAGTGTTCTGCTCCTTTCGGAGATGTGCATAAAAACAACTAACACAACCTTGCTCTATACAGAAGAATCATGCTTAATTTGATTAAAAAAAAAAAATTCAACCCTCAGATTTCAATCCTTAATTTTATAGTTGTAACAGGAAAGAAAAAGCTTTTTTACCTTTGCGTCTCTTCCCATGGCTTCTTTTTAAGAAACTTCAATCAAACACACAGGGAGATGAGAATTTTATTGCCTGGATGAACTTTTTGTGATTTTTTTATTCCTTTTTTATCTTTTCTCGAGAAGATATCTTAACTTCCTTTCTACTCCTACATTAACTATTTCAGCTCTATAAATACTTGTATTTCTCATTTCTTGTTTATATTTTATGTTTTCACTTTTAATTACAATATTTGTCATCTTGTTTTCAATTTGTTTCCTGTTTCATTGTGAAAACAAAATAAGCAAAAAACACTTTCTCAAAGTAAATAGCTCCTAACTGTTAGAACCTTTTCGAAAAGCATATCCATAACATTACCTTAGCAACAAGCACCCTCAGAGTTTTGAATGCTTCAATTCGAATTCTTGCGGAACTTGTTGTCCCCTAGCTGTCTCTGTATCTGCAGTGTTTTCATAAGACCATATTTGCATTATAAATTTATATAATGTTATAACCAACTTACAAAAAAGAAATAAGGGGGAATTCCATTTAGGTCTCGTTTAATAGAAATTACCTGAAGTTATCTTTTGCTATAATAGAACGTGCCTATATACTTTAAATAAAATTTGGTTATTCTATTATAAAATGTGATTAAGAACCAATTACCCCCTCCCTCAACCACACACCCACCCAAAAAATAAATTAAAACATAGAATTTTTAAGTGATAGCCAGTGTCCAACAGCAGTTGACGCAAATTGAGACTGGAGAAATGCAAGTAAACATTCTTCTTATTCCAATCCATACTTGAAAGTTTGATTGGGTTTGGATGTTAGGTAATTGTTTTTCAATTTTTGAGTTTATTGCTATGAGTTACGTTTTATTTGCATAGGTTTTGCATATAAGTTATTTGTTAAAATGCCTCTTGCAAAGTTTTAGATTAAAACTTAGCCTTATTTGAAACACTAGTTAGCATAGCTCGACCCTAGCGTGCAATTTAACTAGACATCAGTACAATAAAACACCAAATCACATATCAATCCATGAATAAACTAGAAAAGAGAACAACTATAGACAAGCTAATTCACTCCTCTCCTCATGTAATTATAACCCTAATCATATATATATATATATTACTTCATTTCTACATAACTCTTATTACGTAGGAGGGATGAATTTCACATCTTATTTTTATCAAAAGACTCAAGACATAACTGTTATTACGTAGGAGGATGAATTATGTTTACATCACTCATATATTCCTTCAACATGAATCATTGTAACCCAATAATTACCTTATTATAAATAATATTTAATAACTTTAAAGCTTAATTATAACTCAAACATGTAAGAATTGTAATAATTTCAAGTTGAATGACTACTTCACTATAATTATCATGATAAACTCTCATGACACTTCACATAACTATTATATGAATATATCCAATATAAATATTAACCATGATATTTATATTTGTATAGGAGAACTTAATTTTTTATATTTACTTATTGGATGTGATTATCAGTCTCCTCACATAATAGTTTCAATATTATTATCTTAATCAACAAATAATATTTTACTATAAATACTTTAAAAATAATATTTCAATGAAATAATCAAATATAACTTAAATCTCTTTATATAAATTATCAAATATGTACGCATTAAACTCATGATATAAAAAAATAGATCGGTCATTAGGTTCACTCTAGCAAGTATCAGCAAAGTCGTGCTGTTCTCATTGACATAATTTCTCCTAAAAGTTCACTCTATCCGCCCTTTTTCTGATAAATCTCTTAACCACGGTCTATAGCACACTGTACACAAAAACATAAATGTTGTCAATAAATTTATGCATTAAATAAGATAAAAAAACTACCACAAATTACTAAAAGTGCAACAGATAAGGGGTGATCATAAACCCTAAACTTTTTTTTTGGAGTCCAGGCATTCCACATTCCTGTTGCAATTTTGAACCGACTCTGATATGGAATTCTAATTGTGTCATTTTTTTGTGCTTTATTTTGCTAAGTCATTTGCATTGAATGCATGTTCGTTGTCCATATATGGTTTCATTGTGTACTTGTTGAATCTCTTTGTCACATCACTTATTTTGTCACACAATGTTTTTTATTCTCTTAATTATAGAAAAGAATTGTAAGAATAAATTTTTCTCTTGTACTATTTAATTGTCTTAACAAATATTAGATATATAAAATGGGGTCGGAATGGCATATATATATGCTTGATTAGCTTCCTGATTACAACACGAACCAGCTTCATATTCTGATAGGAATTAACGCACCCACACCTGGAATCTTGTGGCTTAAAACATTGCTAAATAAATAGAAACAACTTGATCGGTGGACCTTATTAAAATGGAACCTTCATCTTGCTGCCAGCCATATATGATCATATATTCTGCACCATTAATTTCAATTCCATAGTCCCCATCTTAGCGCAAAGTAGATTCTCCTACGAAATTGACGAAATTCAAAACGTGTATATCGTATTAAGCGTACAAAATGTGTTCAGAATAATTCCATTAATTAACCCCGTTCTTATCCCAGCAAGAAAGTTAGCACTAGCAGCATCACAATATCTAAACGCTAAATAATAAACAAAATGAGTAGTTATGTACCGAAAGTGTAGTGGGATGAAAATAACGATATAAAATAACCAGTGTCGACAATATTACATTCTCTAATATATTTCTAGGTTGAACATTGAATTTAATATTTAAGTATGTATAATGTCCAATGTTTATTAGATATAACTAATATATAAATAAATACTATATTTAGATATATAAATCAATTTTGTAAAAAAAAAAAAGACTTATTAATTAACGATGTGTAAATGCATTCTCCTCTATACTTGATGGTTAGCATTTGTGGAGCTATAAATAAAGAGTTGTTGATACAGCTCGCACTCATGCAAGCACCATCCAACTGATCATCACACACAAGATGTCCCTTCGTGGTGGCTCCCTCCGTGGCCATAGAAGAAACGAAGCCTCCGAAGGCCACCACAGAATCCCACACCAACCCCAAGAGCCCATGGGGTTGGGGCAGCTAACCCACCCTCTCCCCTTCGCAGCCTTCCCCATGGAGCCCTCCCCGATGCTCAACACGCCCCACATCGACTGGAAGGAGACCTCGGAGGCCCACGTGTACAAGGCGCACCTCCCCGGCTACAACCGCCACGACGTGCGCGTGGAGGTCGACGACGACAGAGTTCTCTGCATCGTCTGCGGCAAGAGCGCCGAGAAGAAGGAGCACGTGGGCCCCTGGCACCGCGTCCAGCTCTCCTCCGGCCAATTCGTGCACCGCCTCTCTCTGCCCCAAAACGCCGTCGTTGACCACGTCAAGGCCTATATGGATAACGGCTTCCTCACCATCACTGTTCCCAAGCACCACAAAGCTCATCACAACCGTGTCAGGAACATTAACATCTCTTCTCGCCCCTGAATCTGATCTCCTCCGTTCAAATGGAACCTACCCTATGCTTCTATTAATTCCATCAATAATTGCTTTCAGCCTTTGTTACGCTCTTCCCATCCCAATATATATATACATCTATGCACTGTTATGCTTAATGGAAAATCACACGAACTCCAAAGGCTTTAGAGGATGCTCCTTTTTACTTCGTTAATACAATTATAGTCACTATATTTTATTGTTGCAACGGATCCAGACCGGCTAGCTACTATGGGGTTGTAATTAATATTTTTAAGGATTAAATGGTATGTTAGTTTAACCTTAAAAAAATATGATTTTTAAAAAAGTCAAGTTTAAGAAGCATATTATAATTACTTCTTAAAAAATTAGAAAACTGTTTATTTTAAAAGAAAAAAGTTTAAACAGACACACTAAAAATAAATAAAAGTATTTATTTTATTAAAAAACAATATTTAGGAGAAATTTTTTTAAGAAATATACTCATAATTATATTTTTATCTCTTAATATAAGTGTAAATTTATTTTTTTTCTCAAATTTAAAGTTGATCTTTTTAAATTTTTCTAATTTAAAAAAATGTTTTGGTCCTCAATTGAGGTAACACTATTAACCGTGACAGATTGCAGTAAAATTTGTTGAGTTTAATTAATGTAGTATTTTTACTAACAATGATATTAATTATTGTTAATTTTGTACGACAAAATTTTGTGATAAATAATTTTTATTTGATAAATTTATTAACTATATTTAAGTAGAAAGACTAAAATTATAAAATTTTAAATTATATGATTAAAAAATTGATTTTAAATTTGAAAGATAAAAATAATGTTATCTCGTTTCTTAAAAACTAAAAATGTATTTAAGTCTCTCTCAAAATTTTGTTATTCAATCTTAAGGTCTTATTTATATAGTAATATTTAATTTTCCTTTTTTTTTCCTGCACACATTTTAGGATTTCACAAATATTTTCGCCTAACTTTCAAAATTGCACATGATTAAATATATTTCAGTCCTTTAACTTTTGTTAAATTATATTTGTAGCCCCTAAACAAAATTTTTTTCTTCTAATTTTAATTTATAAACTTTTTGATTTTCACTTTTACTCCTCAAACTTTTTTCTCTCATTAACATTTTGGGTTCTAGCATAAAAGATTTGTTCATGAAAAAATCTTTAGAGATAAAAACTAAATAAAATTTGTTCATGGATTAAAAACAAAAATTTCATATATTCTTTACTTTCCTTCTGAAAATGTGATTATTTAACTTATAGGATATGTATATCTATAGGATATTATTTTGTAGAGTTAGAGACTCGGTTTCGATGTATCGTTGTTCAAACATATGGTTGAACTATAAAATTGTCATTTTAGCATTTATGATTCATTTAATTAATAGTTAATACTATTTGTTGCTTTGTTGGTCTAGATTACAAGTATATATGACTAGAGATAATTATATTCAAGTTGGATAGGACAATTATGTGTGATAAAACTGTTTGTTAGAATATTTAATATAATTACATGTCTAGGATCTTAATTAAAAAATATTGATGATTAAGTTGGAACTATCTCAAACCAATTTGATCCATGTGTTTGTCGATTATTAGTTAATATTATGCAAGTGAAAGAATGTTAAATTATTTGTTATAGATTAGTATAAATCAATATAATTAGAATATTATCTTTAAATCATTAATTAGAAATTAAATATACTACCTTTGTTCTTATTTTATGAAAGACAACTTAGAATAAATGTTTATTCCTTTATATAAAACTTAATTCATATTATCTCATATATTAACTATTTTTAAACTTAAAATATCTCTAATTAATATATGTTCTCTTAATTTGTTAAAAAGTATTAATTATAAATTCTTTTAAGGGTATGTATTCTAATTTGTTAGGAGAAAGATGAATATTAGTTGAGAAAGAAAAATAATTTAGGACATATATTTTAATTGATTGTAGACATATGAGTATTAAATAGGGAAAAAGTAGTATACACTACAAAAAAAATTGTTATATAATAACACACACCCTATAGTGACAGAATATGTGTTATTATAAACTACTTTTAATCACACAATAAATATAATATATGTAGGTATATCGTTAAAAATGTATATTGTTAAATCTCATTCAAAATCAATACTAAAATTGTATGTAACTATATGTCAAATAAATATATACATATATATATATATTGTATCTATAGTGACATTTTTTGTATATAATTATATGTAACATTTCTTGTAATGATAAGGATATTTTTGACACTTTTTGTATATAATTATATGTAACATTTCTTATAATGATAAGGATATTTTTAGGAGATATATATATATATATATATATATATACTAGTAAAAAATGACTTTTAAAATCGATTATTTTTAACTTTTAAAATCAGTTCTGTAACTGATTTTGATAGAGCCGATTTTAAAAGCTAGACTTTTAAAATCGGTTGAACAACTGATTTTAAAAGTTAACTTTTAAGATCGGTTGTTTTATAACCGATCTTAAAAGTTCGGCGGTGGAAAAAAATTAAACTAGAACGGGCCGTTCCAAAATTGGAAAAGGTCGTTCTAGTCTGATCAAAATGTCTAAAAGTTAACTTTTAGAACGGCTCCAGGGAGAACGACCTGTTCTCCTTGAAGAACGGCTCGTACTCCATGGAGAACAGCCCGTACTCCATGGAGAACGGCCCGTACTCCTTAGAGAACGGCCCGTACTCCTTGGAGTACGGCCCTGTCTCAAAGGAGTACGATCCGTTCTCCTTGTAGAACGGCCTGTTCTCCTTACAGAACGGGCCGTTCAAGGTGCGTAATTTACCCAAATTGAACCTACAACGAAAATAGAGATGAGAAAAACATTTGAAAATGAAAAGAGACACAAAAAGAACATGAGAAGACGAAAATGAAAACGAAAACGACAACGAAATTTACCTTATTGGAGACTTTAGAAAATGAGAGCGTTAGAGATTGAAAAAAGGAATGGAGGGAAAGATCGAAAAGAATGAGAATGGAGGAAAATATAAAAGATTTCTGATGATACTTTTAAAATCGGTTATTGAATAACCGATTTTGTATACTACATACAAAATCGGTTCTGAAATAACCGATCTTAAAAATACTTTTAAGATTGGTTAAATTTTAACCGATCTTAAAAGTGTTCATGTTATTTATAAAATTGCTACCGCGTCACTTTTAAGATCGATTACCTTGTAACCGATCTTAAAACTCTGATTTTAAATCCAATTTTTACACTAGTGATATAATAAATTTATTGTTATCAACTAAATTAACTACTTAATCTTGATAAATTAAATAATTAAATTTTATTTTTTAAAAAACAAAAAAGTAATTGAGTTTTATATGTAAATATAAAAATGGTGATAGATTTACATATTTGAATGACATTATTATGATAGGATTGGTATATGATAGATTGGGCTTATTATTAGTAAGTAGACCAATGATAGGTTCCAAGAGGACTATAAATTTGTTATGCCCGTTAAGCAAATTTACACATCCAATCAATTTTCGTAGAGAGCAGGTGGAAAGCTCTCAAGTTAAATTAGGTTTTTTTTCTTTTTTCTTTTTCTCTTTTATCTCTACCAAGCCATTGTAATGCGAGTTTAGGTTAGTATTTAGCGAACTTTGAATATTAATGTTATGCTAATCCCATGTATCTATGAGTTTTTCTTTATATAGTATTTTTCAACAGGCTAGGATGATTTTAACTTGGGTAAACAGATTTTGACATCTCTAATGGAGGTTTTTATATATATATATATATATAT